TGGGCTTAACTTCTAGCTGTTTTAACTATCTTTTTAAAATAGCAAAGTTCTTTACAACCAGACGTAAGATACTAAAGCTATGTAAAAAAACAAGCGCTACCTCTGAAAAAAGCTTAAAAAAAAATACCAGTTTTCAAAAATTCTTTTAAAAAAAGTTCTGCCATGAAAAAAAAAAAATATATCATCAAACCATTTCTAAGCCCCAAATCTTTAAGAAAAAGTTCGTTTTGTTCCTTGAGGAAAAATCGTGTTGACTAGTGTAGTCAGACACATTACCTTGCCAATAAAATATTGGGGAGCCCAGAATATGGCTGGGGAAGAGCGACCCCAGCTGAAGAAGTGCATTTTATTAACTTTCAACAAAACCAAGCAGCTGTCTGAGCAGAGTAACCGTTCGGAATGCAGTGCACACCTCTGGTCACACACTGGCTGCTCTAAGAATATATGACATTCGTTTGCTGGCAAATAAAAATTTCAATTTTGTTGAGTATTATTATATTATTATTATTTTTATTATTATTTTATATATTTATATTATTATTTTATATATTTATATTATTATTTTATATATTTATATTATTATTTTATATATTTATATTATTATTTTATATATTTATATTATTATTCTCTTTTATATATTATCAATTAATAATAATTATATATTATATTATTATTATTTATATTGTTATTTTATATTTTTATCACTTCGAACCAAACCAACATTTTTTTTTTATAGATTTTGGGCTTTAAAAATGGTTAAAAATAAATTCGTTTTTTTCTTCGGCAGATCTTTTTTATTTTTTTATTTTAAAAAACTGGTATTTTTTAAGATTTTTTTCGGAGGTATCTTACCTTCGTTTGTAAATCCGCACAAAAATCATCATTTTTGCATTTGAAAGCTTAATATTTCCCTAACGGTAAGATCAAACCACAAAGTGCTTGGGTCCAATTTCTGCATCAATTCGATTTTCAGAACGGCAAAGCTCCTTAAAACCAGATGTAACATACTTAAGTTATGTGAAAAAAAGAACCACTACCTCTAAAAAAAGCATAAACAAAAATACCAGTTTTAAAAAATTCTTCAAAAAAAGTTTTACCATAGAAAAAAAAACCATAGTACTTTAAACGAGAAGGAACGTGTGAGTGGCTTCTGGGGACGCGACTCTACTTATACCCGTACTCAGTCAGTATATACATTTTTGAGCTTATGATTTTCTAGAATTTTAGAATTAAAGCCTAGTACTCAGATCGAAAAACTGTTTGCCAGCAAACGAATGTCATATATTCTTAGAGCAGCCAGTGTGCGACCAGAGGTGTGCACTGAATTCCGAACGGTTACTTTGCTCAGACAGCTGCTTGGTTTTGTTGAAAGTTAATAAAATGCACTTCTTCGGCTGCGGCCGCTCTTCCCCAGCCATATCCTTGGCTCCCCAATATTTTATTGGCAAGGTAATGTGTCTGACTATCAGCAGCAGCAGATGGCGACGCATCCCGTGCCGGACACCGTGAAGAAAAAATGTTTTGAAAACAATATATGTTTTATATTTATGAAAATTAATATAAATAATAAATTATAATATTCATATAATTGTCATTCATTTAATACTGCATTAGCTAGGTTCTATTTATTCTTATTGCAATGTTTGCTTCGTGTTTGCTGGCAAATTATATCAAATTGATATCTTTTTCGAGGTGGGTCGAAACATACCAAAAAAACAAGCATATATTTCGGATAATTTTCCAGTATATACCATCCTTTTTGTTTTTTGATCTGAGTACTGCCTTCCGTACAGAGCCTAGAAAACAGTTTTTGCCGTAAAACATTTCTTATCGGTTTCATACGAATATCAACCCTGATTCTGTTCGCGAGGTGCTTTTTTCGATCTGAGTACTGTAAATGTTACATTTTAAATTTTTTTGATACATCTGTTACACTAGTCAACACGATTTTTCCTCAAGGAACAAAACGAACTTTTTCTTAAAGATTTGGGCCTTGGAAATGGTTTGATGATATATTTTTTTTTTCTATGGCAGAACTTTTTTTTAAAGAAATTTTGAAAACTGGTATTTTTTTTAAGCTTTTTTCAGAGGTAGCGCTTGTTTTTTTCACATAACTCTAGTATCTTATTGTTGTAAAGAGCTTTGCTATTTTGAGAAGATAATTAAAACAGCTAGAAGTTGAGCCCAAATACTTTGTGATTTCAGCTTACCGTCTGGGAAATATAAAGCATTGAAATGCAAAAATGATGATTTTTGTGCGGTATTTTTTACGAAATTTTGACTTTAAAAACTCAGGAAAAGAAGGAAAAAAAATGATATCCTGTGACCTCAATTTTTTGTGTATAGGTGCCTTAATTTGGCATCGTTTAAGGTATCGCTCATTAAAATCTATGGAGAGACTTTGGAGCTAAAATTCGTTAACCAATCCTAAAAAATTACAAATTTAACAAAAAATACATTTTGGAAGGTTGCGGGCCCAACTGCCAATTGGGAACAAAGCAAACGAAAAAGGGTTGTACATTTGGTACCTGATCGCGTTCCTTTGGTATGAAATGTTGTTGACAGTTCCTTTTTTCGTTATCTGAGGTAGGATACCTATTCAGGTCAAATGTTTCCTTTATATTCTCACAAGTGCAGGTCCACACAAATTGGATCTCGTCGCGTCTACCTAATCATAGTCATGGATATATAACTCTGTGCCTATAGTGTCTGTGCCTTAGTGTAGTTCTGACTTCCCTCAGAATACGATCGTCTGTTTACCAAAACATCTTACAATTAATTAAAATCAATTGTCATGGATACCTCTGGCCGATCATTTTCATGTGCTTTCCAAGCAGACTCATTTTGCTACATAATGTGGTAAGTAAGATTCCGGCTTATTAAAGGAAATCGTCAACATAACCCATTTCCGGACGCGTCATTTGGCACACGCACAATTTTATACGACGAAAGATCATATGTGCATTTGCCACGACATTTTTGGTTTATTCAAGGAAGTAAAGTTTAAAGGCTGTTTTGCTACATAATGGAAACCAAAAGCCGTCTGTTCCCATCGCACATGCTGTTAATATGAAGGAAACATATCAAACAATGGCTAAATTGTTTGAAAATATTAAATATAAAGAACACCAGTGGAAGGTCGCATGTGACTTAAAAGTCGTAGCCATGTTAACTGGATTGCAAGGTGGTTACACAAAATACTGCTGCTTCCTGTGTCTATGGGATAGTAGATCTAGAGAAAAGCATTACTCAAGAAAACTCTGGCCAAAACGGGAGGAACATACTTTGGAAAATTACAACATACAGAATTCAGCTCTCGTGAAGTTTAAAGACGTTTTTTTACCACCATTACACATTAAGCTGGGACTAATGAAAAATTTTGTTAAAGCACTGGATAAGGAAGGCGAATCAATGCGTTACCTAAAAGCTGTTTTTCCACTTCTATCGCTGGCAAAAGTGAAAGAAGGAGTATTTGATGGTCCCCAAATAAAAAAACAACTAAAAGATGATGGATTTCCAAATATGTTACCTAAGAATGAAAAAGCAGCTTGGAACTCATTCCGAATGGTAGTAACAAACTTTCTTGGAAACAGCAAGTCTGATGATTATGTTAATATCGTCCAAGAGCTAATTAAGAATTATAAAAAAATCGGGGCAAATATGTCACTAAAAGTCCATTTCCTGCAGTCCCACTTGGACTTTTTTCCGACAAACCTAGGCGACGTTAATGATGAACACGGAGACAGATAGATTTCATCAACAATTTAAATATATGGAACAACGTTATCAAGGTGTTAGGAATGATAACATGATGGGCGACTATGTGTGGAATCTCATAAGAGAATCTGGTTCGAATACAAAAGGAAGACAGCCAGAAAACTTAAATTATTTTAAAAAACGTTAACAAGCATTAGCAAACCAAATGTATCACTTATGTTTAAAAACTTGTAGCAACATAACACCAAATAAAAAAGTTTGTATATCCTTAGAATTGACTGAAAAGACTAAAAATTACTGATTGTTGTAATTTTGTCGAGTAGTGTTATCTGTTATCATTTAGATTTTAAATCTCCTCCGATAGAGTGCGCTCGCGTACATACCGAGGCAGAGTGTGCGAGCGAGAAAGAGAATGAGTAGCGGGCCTCTTGCTATAGGAGGCGGGGCAAACAACTGAAAATTAATTTTTTCACTCTGGCTATAATTATGATCCGATATGATATGAATCTCGTAGATATGGTCATTCTTTACGATACTGCGCTTTCAGTTTTATCGTTTCTTTAAAATTGTGATTGCCACAGATTTTTGTTCTTTGTGGGGCCGGAAGGGGGCGGGGCGAAATTTTAAAATACATTTGTAGGAGTGGGATATCATATGAGTCTGGAAACCAAATTTGGTTGCCCTAGCTCGTTGAGTCTCTGAGATCCAGGCGACAAACAAGACGGACGGACGGACAGACGGACAGACAGACATGGCTCTATCGACTCGGCTATTGATGCTGATCAATAATATATATACTTTATGAGGTCGGAAACGTTTCCATCTGTGCGTTACACACATCCACTGGTATTTGTGGTAATCTAATATACCTTTTGACTCTTTTTGAGTACGAGTATAAAAATTGTAAATCCCCAAATATATCAGAAACAGTTGGTTTGGTTCCTTGAGGAATGTAAAAGACCGATTTTGTCGAGTAGTATAATATATCCCTAAAATGATCGAGTACAGAGCATAAAAGGAAAATTGCAAAAAACATGCGTATTGCGTGGTCAACGTTTTTCGACACCGGAAAATGCGGATAAAAACAAGAGTCTTAGAAATTCTGCCTTCTGAGTGCCAAAAGTGTGTTTGAAACTAGGTATTCATCTTCATAGAGCAAATTTATAAAAGCAAATAAAAGCATTTTCAATAATATCTGTTAATTTTCACTGCTAGTCCAAAAAAATATAAAGATCCCCGTACAATATTATAATCTTACAAATCTAGCAAAATTGATCACAAACCTTGTCTGGAGGAGAAACATCTGTGATTTTTTTTTTTCAGTTGTTGCGGATAGGCTATAGTCTTCGCAATGATCATTATATGTGTTCCAATTATTAGAGGTATCATCCGCGTACTCGTCTTCGGTCGGTAAATTTGAGTTGTTGGAAGCTGTTGCTGAGGGGGCGGTATTTGGAGCCTGTTGTGGTTGATGCAGAAGTGATTTCTGTAGCTGCAGGGTATTACTACCATTTGCTTGCTGACGTTGACGCAGTTCCTTGTGCTGCTTTTGCAGTGTTAGTTGTTGTTGTTGGTGGTGGTGCTGTTTGGCTGTCTGTGCTGGCGTGGTCGTAGAGGCAATTGAATTTGTGGATGCATCTTCAGTTTCAGTCACGTCTATATTATTAAGTCTCGTGATGACTGGGGCTACGTCTTTGACAGTTTCCTTCCTCATCTGTTGAAGATGATTGTAGTTTATTGCTGCCTCTGACCCGTATAGACCGCGTATTCGAAGCTGTTCGGCACATCGAAGCAATTGGCCCAGACCGGCTTGCGTGACATTTACCTCTCCCTTATACATAAAATCTACAAGCGCCTGAATCTCCCAGAGCTTGATCTCTCCTGGTAAAATTATAACGGGATGCTTACAGGGATTTTCCGCCAGTATGGCTTCAAAGTATGTGGAACATGCGGCCAGCACTAGACGGTGACAATGCAACTGGTGACCTTCACAGGCCAGTGTTACATCGACAAACCTCTGTCCGGCTAAAAGCTGTGGAAAAGCGGCTCCAATACTACCAAGATGGCTGTTCCAGCGTACGCAAAATTCTTGAGAGACTGCGTTCATTTTGCTTAACCTCAACTCACTAAGCTATGCAGTTTGTGCTATATACCAAATTTGTATCCTTTTTTAACCTGTAACAAAATGAATATTAAATAATATTAAGTCCAGAGTTAAGCATAAACCGTGATAAAATCGGGGATCCACCTTATCCCCACATAATGGATACCACTAATACACCAACATATTACATTAGTGCAAACCAAAAATAACCTAAACCTGGACCTACACAACAAGTGCCCGTACTTATATTATATCTTAAAATGACTGACAATAATTCAATGGAACCTTTGGATTGGTACAAAAAAATAATTCAAAATCATAATATAACAGTACTAAGTTATAGGTACCAACAAAATTATGTCTGCTGCTTATCGCTAATAAAAAATTTTAATGAAAGTTACTTTCAAAATTTTCTTAACCTTAACTCAAACTTATTTATTTTAGGTGTTAAGAACTTAAAGAATAAGTCCACATTTGTTGAGTTCGAAACTGAATCTAATTTTTATACCCGATACTCAAAGGGGTATATTAAATTTGTGGTTAGATTGGATGAGTGTGACGCACAGAAGGAAACGTTTCTGACGTTTCTATATTATATATATTCTTGATCAGCATCAATAGCCGAGTCCATATAGCCTGTCTGTCTGTCCGTCCCGATGAGCGCCTAGATCTCAGAGACTATAAGAGCTAGAGCAAACAAATGTTGTTTCTAGACTCATGTGATATTACACTGATACAAGTGATACAACTTCGCCCCGCCCTATCAGCCCACACAAGGGACGAAAATCTGTGGCTTCCACAATTTTGAAGATACGAAAAAACCGAAAACAAATTATGGTAAAGAATGACCATATCTTGCCATAGACTATAGATTGTTGAATGTGGTTCAGATCGGATCATTATTATAGCTAGAATAAAGAAAAATGACTTAGTATTCCATAGTTGCTCCGGTGATAACACTACTCGACAAAATTAAACTTTTTATTTACCCTTCGAAACAAACCTACTTTTTTTGATAGACTTAGGGCTTTAAATTTTTTTTAAGAATTCTAATTTTTTTCTATGGCAGAACTTTCATTTAAAGAATTAAAAAAAATGTTCTTTCTTTTTTTCAGAGGTAGTGCTTTTTTACAAAACTTAAGTAACTTATATCTCGTTGTAATGCCATTTTTCGTTTTGAATTGCTAATAAATGCAACTTTAAATTGGACCTAAGCATTTTGTGGTTCAGCTTACCACCAGGGAAATATTAAACTTTCAAATGTTTATGATGATTGATGATTTTTGTGCGGTACGTTTTTTTTTAATTTGACTTTAAAAACTCAGGGAATGTCGAAAAAAATTGTAGCCTGTGTCCTTATATTTTTTGTGTATAGATGCATTAAAAAGGCGTCGTTTTAAGCATTGTTCATAGCAAAATTGGAATTAAATACCATACCAATTAAATATTTCCTGGTGATACATAAAATGCGGTACATTTACTCTAAAAAAAATCATACCGATGCACAGTGGGTGATGGTGCTGCCATAGGCCAAAAATAAAAAAAATTGATCTTAAAATTTTCAGAGCACATTCCAAACTTTATAATGCCATACTGATTTTGCTTAAGCCTAGTACTCAGATCCAAAAAAACAGCTCGAGAACAGAATCAGGGTTGATATTCGTCTGAAACCGATAAGAATTTTTTTCGGGCACAAACTGATTTCTAGGCTCTGTACGGAAGGCAGTACTCAGTTCAACAAAAAAAGGTCGGTAGGTAATAGAAGAGTATCCGAGGGTATTTGCTTGTATACGTTGATATGTTGCCAGCCCCTACCGAAAGATATCAATGTTCTTGTTCGGTCAACCTTTCCCTTAGTAGTGTCAAACACTCATAAGTACTCCCCTCTTATACTCACACTCTGCTCTCGTTTTCAAGTCAATCATCTCGCATCATGTTAACTAGATATTAAGCACTTACATTCTGTTATAAGCACAGTGGAAATTCATGCTACCAACGAACAGACGTGCGTATTGTCGATCAGCCAGTTTCGAGAAGTCTATCTGCAACTCACTATTGTGCACCCACCGCCCAGACTTGTACTCGTGTGTCCACAAAAACGCTTGTGGAATATACAGTTTTATCTTCTGCTAGCAAACACAAACGTAAACATTTCGAAATGAAAACAAAAAACCAAATGAAATATTTAAATAATGAAGACAAATAGAATCTAATTGAGGCAGCTATATGAAGGACAAATATATAGATATTATAATTGATTATTTTTATTCATTTTTATGAATTCAAAACAAATATTGTTTTGAAAACATGTTTTCTTCATGGTCGGCGGCGGTTGCACTGGAGGCGTCGCCATCTGCTGCATCTGCTGCTACTGATAGCCAGACACATTCGTTTGGCAATAAAATATTGGGAAGGCCAGGATATGCATGGAGAGGAGCGGCCCCAGCCGAAGAAGTGCATTTCATTAACTTGGTTTACTTTAACCAAAACCAAGCAGCTGTCAGAGCAGTGTCACCGTACAGAATGCAGTGCACACCTCTGGTAACACCACTGGGCGCTAGAAGAATGTATGACATATTTTTACTAGCAAACAGTTTTTGGATCTGAGTACTAGGTTTTACATTTTAACAGTATTTTCTAAAAATACCATCGAAAGTGTGAAAATGTTCCTTTAAGACATGTATACACTAAATTAAATGTGTATGTACGTACATTTTTGTGCAAATGACGTCGACTTTGCAACTTTGTCAATAAATTCCTTTTTTTTCATAGGACTTTTCTATATATATTTCATTCTTTTTATATATATTTTTACATATATTGAAAGAATTGGTATGTGTTTATACATATGTAATTTTGGCCTCCTCGTGGTGTTCCCTGGGTACCGATATTAAATCGGGAGCCAATATGAGCGGCGACTTTATGTATATGTAAATATATAAGCCAATTCTATGCACATGTAAGGTAACCCATATACATACATATGTTTGTAGGTATATGTATATTCATTGATTACACTAGTCAACACGACAATTAGGCTGTGGCCCAAAATTACTTTTTCCTATAGATTTCGGGGTTTAAAAATGTTTAACGAATTATGGTTTTTTTTATGGTTTAGTTTTTTTTTTAAGAATTTTTTAAAGTCTGGTATTTAAAAATTTTTTTTTCATTTTTAGTTTTAGATAGACGCATTAATTTGGCGTCGTTTAAGGTATTGTTCATTAAAATCTATGGATAAACGGTGGAGCTAAAATTCGTTCACCAAACCTCAAAAATTAAAAAATAGACAAAAAATACTTTTTGGAAGGTTGCGGGCCCAACTGCCAATTGAAAACAAAGCAAACGAAAGGGGTTGCATATTTGGTACCTGAACGTGTTCCTTTGGCATTGGACCAGCAACGGTATTTTTCAGGTAAAATTAGGTTTGAGTCGTTTTGGTCAACCGGCTGCAAGTTGACCGTTTACCCATAGATTTGCACTAGTGAAACATCTACCCTGATCGGCAATGATTCGGGTCGGAACCCCAAACAAAGAAATGGATGATTTCATAGCCGTCACACAGCTCTCGTGTGAAGAAACCAATAATATTGATAAACTTTATCAAGCGTTTTCCTCCAACCTAAGTGCATAATTGATTCATGAACTTGATTTATTACTGACCATCTAAATGCACGTGGTACTAGGGGCAAACAACGCGTTCTATTATTTCTTTGAATTTTGCGAAACAACACACCCTTTCTTAATTCGTATGTCTTTGTCAAATCTTCAGCAGCTCACTGTCATTAAGTTTGTTAACAATATCAATCAGATCTGAATCAAGTCGCTGCTCAGCTAAGAGCCAATCGTTGGAAATCTCTGTCAGTCTCACTAGTTTTTCAGGAATTTTACATTTTATAGAATCGGGTTTTGCATGAATTAGATTTCTTGACAAAAAATCAACATGGGCCATACGATTGCCTTCCCTATACTGTATATCGAAGCTAAAGGACTGTACATAAGCCTACCTACATAAGCCTAGCACGGCAGCGGCCGCTCTTTCATTTTATCTCGCCTTCTTCGCTTTGTTGTTGCAGTTGCAGCATCTAAGCTGGTCTCTCGCGTTCCCTATGACGTTCGTGCTCGGCTAAGCATCTGCCCCGATCTGCTCTCCATTCATCGCTCGTTTTCGCTCTCTTTAACACTTGCTGCATAGGGCGCTGGCAAGTCGGCCCATTTGCACTTGTAGCTAGTAGAGAGATAATCTTCGTATCAATCGCATCGCTTTATCATATCGGTCATACTAACGCCTACTTTACATTACCAATACAAAATAAATTGTACATTCCCCATTGAAACGCTAGACTTTTTTCTTAAAATCAAACGAGTTTCAACGGCTATTAAAAACTCTTAATATCCAAACAGATTTCCTTCACTGATGTAAGAGAATAGAGTGGCTTCATCATTTTTGAAAATCCAGGCACAAATTTACGAAAATATGAAGCCAAACCGATGAATTGTCTCAAGCTACTAACTGATTCTCATATCCCAAATAATGAACAGCAGTTTTAAGAAAACTACACTTTGAAATGTTGAACAAGAATCCAGCCGTATTCAAAATATCCAGAACAATTTTTAATCTCTCCAGACCCAACTCAAAGGTATGGACACATTATAGACACCACCATAATATCATCCATGTAAACAATAACGTATGACTGAGCTTAGGCACCAGGTGCATTCATGACGCTACGCTAAAAAACGGATGGTGCATTTTTCAAACCAAACGGCATTTTCAAAAACTCGTATTGACCTTCTGGCGTTACAAACGCAGTGTATTCTACCGAATCAGGGTGCATTGATATTTGATGATATCCGCTAGCCATGTCTAAACAAGTAAAATAATTAGCTCCACATAGTCTGGCAATCTGGTCATCGATGAGCGGCAAGGGGTATTTTTCAGAAACCATGTTTGAGTTTAGCTCTCGATAACACTACTCGACAAAATCGAACTTTTTTTTTCCTCAAGGATCCAAACCGACTTTTCTGATAGATATGGGACTTTAAGAATTAGTGTTTTTTTTCTATGGCAGAA